TTCTGCAGAACCAGCACTATGTAGATGCTGCCAAGGTCTGCTGCCAGCTCAAGCAGTAGCTGAGTCCCCTGAAATGACTACTGCAGCAGACTCTTGGTAGTGTCTAGGTAGCTGAACTGAGTAAAGCACTTCCTAGGTCCCTGTATGTATGTAAAGCAATTCTATGGTTTTTACTGAAAGGAACTTTCCCTTTTACACCCCTAAATTTGCAATGTATGTAGTCCTGCAATTTCCTGAACGCTTTCAAGCCCCCTTTCCTACTGTCTTTATAAAAAGTCCTTAAAATATCCTAAGTTATTGATATCTCCTGAACAACCATAACTTAATTTTACATGCACTTTCCTGGCCAAACTACAAGTTTTTAAAATCCTTCAATTCTGCTTTCTACTCCTGATTCTTATAGTATACCTGCTAAAAAGCTGCCACATGTCACTGAATGCTGAGCTACTTTTAAATTTCCTAAAGTCCATCACTTTTTTTTTTTTAAGTTCACCACTTTTAAGTTCAGCTTCACATCAAGTCTTAGGAAATGGGCAAAATGTAGAAAAGCTCTTTGCTATTATATATTATATAATATGAAAGGTCCCTAGTCCAATTCTCAAGAGTACTTTCATTTCCCTCCAAAACCTCATGAGTGCAAAAACCATTCCTATTGGTATTCTTGACCTCTGAGCTTTCACCAGTATCATTCATTAAGGACTGCTTGCAACATTCTAAACACTTTTGAGAATTTAAATTCTCTAAATTTTTCCAAATTCCTCCCTCAAGCCAGCTCCAAATTCTTCTGAATCTCACTATCAGGTTAGTCATATTTCTCCACTCACAGTATTTATTCAACTCAGATCTTTCAAACAAAGATGGACTAATTAGGTTATGGCTCTTGCAATCCAGTCACTTTACCTCCAAACAATCTTGCATTAACACAAGAGCTTTTGAGGAATACCTCATTTTCAAACCTCAATAAGGTTATAACAAGTATTTTGTCATTTTGGTATTTGCAGGGAGTCCTAGAATCAATTTCCCATGATACAAGAATGACCATACTATAAATACTATCATAAACTTGCTATTATACAATGAGGAAAGTTCTAGTGATACCATTTTATCCACAAATAATAAGTATTTCATGATTAGGAAACATTTTCTCATAATTCTTCAAAACCAGATTACCAAAGCTACTTTTTTCTCTGATGTCCATTTGTTTTGATTATATAATTTAGAAGTAAATCATATAGGGTTAGGGTTAGGGTCAGAGTTAGGATTAGGGTTAGGGATATTTCACAAATGTAAAAATTTTCACTTAACACTAATAAACTTGATATAGTTTTAAATTCTATTCCCATCAAAAGAATATTTAGTAGACCAAAAGAGACCCTGAATTCATTTTCTTCATTGTATGGTAGTTTAAATTTAATTATTATTGTATAGAATAAAATGGAACTGGTTACTAAAAACTGCATTTGGATTCACACACAGAGCCACTTGCTTATCTTAAACTTAAATGTTTCACAATCTCTTCCTCGTTGCCATTAGCCTATTTGTGTGTAGTTTGTGTGCATGCTGGTTTCTCTATATTTTTGTAATGAACTATAAAGATTTGGATAAACTGCCTTATGTGATCAGCACTGATGATTAAAATTGCAGAGGGAAAGAAAAATCTGTGCAGAAATAATGATCCTGTTTGTTGGCTAAGCAAAGACTTTCAATGCACACTTTATAAACTTTTCAATTCTCTTTTTCTACTTATAATGTTCGAAGTACATTTATTTAATATTATTTATATTTGACAATCAAAATTAAACTTTATATCAAATATATCCGATAATAAAAATTAGACAATGATATGCCTACGTTTTAATTTTGCTTTTCTAGACATTCTTTTTTTATGCATATGTGTATATATAAACTGTATAAATCACACATACACACACAGCATACATAAACTTTAAAATAATTTTTTTATTTGTACTATAAAGCATCTAATCAAGAGACAGCAATTGGGAATACAGAAAAAAGAAAGATACTAGATTTCAAAAGACAAACACCCATTAACCTTGGAATGCTGGATATGTCCATGAACTTCTGAATCTTCAAAATGCAAAACAACAACAATAACAACAAAAAAAGCAACTTCTGAGTAACCCAGGCTGAACCCTCGTGATTAATAGGGCCTAAATACTAGGCACAAAAGGTAATGTAATAAGAGCAATGACTGACCATTGGTAAAACTGTCCCAACACATTTCCATGAACTCCTCAGGACCCTCTTCCAATGATGGAGTAAAGTTTTTAAGGTGATAATTTCACACCTGAAAATAATACTAATAAAGATGAAAATATGAAATACAACTTGAGTAGCAAGGAAAAAAAGAGCAAAGAAAAGAAATGGGAGTAGAGGGCAAGAAATTTCTTACCTAACAAGAAAGTCCAACTGTTCTCATATGAGACCAAGGTGAAACTATGCTCATATGAGACCAAGTTATCCTGTCAATGACTGCAAAGAAAGAGTTTAAGTCCAAAGAAGAAAATGGATTCATAGCTTCTTCAAGTATAACACTTGTGATGAGCCAGGCAATAAACATTCTCTGGTTTGTAGGACATACATAATCTGTAACAAACATTTAGCCAGTATCTCTAGCAACCAGGAAAATGCAAATCAAAACTACACAAAGATTTCATCTTACTTCAGTCAGAGTGGCAATGATCAAGAATGCAAACAACAATAAATACTGGGAGATTGTGGGGGGAAAGATACAACTGAACATTTTCGTGGGACTGCAAACTAGTATAACACTCTAAAAAACGGTATGGAATTCCTCAAAAAATAGAGTTAGAACCACCATATGACTCAGCTATCCTACTCCCTGATATTTTTTCTCAGAAGATCTAGAATTGGCACACTATAGCAATATAGTCATCCCAATGTATACAGCAGCAAAATTCACAATAGCTAAATTATGGGACCAACCCAGATGTTTGTCAATAGATAAGTGAATTAAGAATTGTGATATATACATATGTGCACATACATATTCACATGTATAACACAATTTCTTATTCATCCATCTATTGTGTGATGTGTAGATGGATGCGATATACATCACACAATGCAGTTCTACAGCATTTGCCAGAAAATGGATGGAAATGGAGAAAATCATACTAAGTGAAATAAGCCAAGCCCCAAAACGCAAAGGTTATATGTTTTCTCTCATATGTAGAAGCTACAGTAAAATATAGAAAGGGGGAAGGAAGGATAGAACCACATAAAAATCAGATCAACAATATAGAAAGGCTTATCTAAGGAGATGGCAAGAGAGAATAGACAGACTGGTATGAGGAGGCAGTACAGAATGCATTCTTAAAAATCATGTTATATTCATAAACAAATGTACCATAGGGAACTTCATCTTTATTCATAGATAGAAAGAACTAATCAAATATAAGTAGAGGAGTGAAAGAAAACAGAGGAGAGGAAAAAGAATAGGTAAGGGGAAGTAGGACAAGAAGGAAAAGGAAGATGGAAAGGGGATCATAAACTGAAATCAAATTCATGCATGTATGGGTTTGTAGGATAAACCCAGATACTATGTGTAACCATAAAGCTTTAAATTAAAATATATATCTCAAAACTGTAACATGAGTTATCTGAGTCCTTCTAACAAATCACTGGACTTCAGAATGGTTCAGAACAGACAACCCACACAGTTTTTTTTAAAGTATTTATTTAGGAATTTATAAGGTAAGTTATGGAATTAGTGTATATATCCATCAATAGAAACGTGGCTAAAAAGAAAATGTGATATTATATGTAATAAAATATTAATCAGCCATAAAGAAGAATGAAATATTCTCATTTGAGGCAAAATATACGGAACTGAAAGACATTATGTCAAGTAAAATAAAATAGAAAAACAAGTGCTTATGCTTTCCCTTAAATGTACAAGCTTTAAAATATAAATAAAAAAATAAAATCAACCAAAAATAGAACTGTGCTTACTAGAGACTGGGAAATAGAGTGCAAGTATGGTGGGAAGATAGTGAGTGAATTTCATTAGTGCATTCTACATGTATGTATTAAAGTACACTGAACCCCCTGAATACGTACAATTCTATATATGTTAATAAAAATATTTAAAATAAATTTGTATTGGAATATCAAAAAAATTTATTAGGCATTTTCATGTTACTGAGTACAAAGTATATCTTACTAAATAAAGAAACATATACATGCTATCTTTAAAATCAAGATAATCTACAAAAGATCTACACCTGGAAAAGGCCAAACATTCTTAATAGTCATACTTTTACAAAACATGCTTTTTCTTCAGAAGCTATTTCCAAAAGCAATAAATTTGTCTTCAGGGAAGTTCTATTTCCATAAAATGCCTTGTAATGTAAGATAAAAACATGGCATAAACCAAGAAAATAAATTTTTTTTTTGAGAAATCAAACTTTTGATAGAATTAACATATTTGAACAATAATGTAGTATTTCTTTCTAATAATTTCACATTCATCAATTGGCAGTCTAAAGGCCTCACAGAGAAAATTCTGTTATATAAATTTGCTGTCATATTTGTGCCACTGTTAAAGGAATGTAGCTTCCTAATAAGACCTATAGAAATTAAAGATGAATGATTAATACAGAATCACTAATCAATTCATTCTCTTCTCAATGGTGGCAATTATTTAGAAGAAAATAATGTTTAGGCTGAAATGAAACCCATACCTGGCAACCATCTCCTGATCACAAACTTATTTAAACTTGAAAACAAAAATTAGTATATTATTACTAGATATTAGATTAAGAATCTTAACATACTAAAAGTTACTTTGCAAGTCTTAGAATTTTTATATCCCAAAACCCACCCTTTCTTATCTTTTAGTTCATATCCTAAATTCTCTAAATTTTTATAGTGCTACCATAAACTCTAACACTTTTTATACACATATAAACAGTCATAAAAAATATTTTATCTCTGGAAAATCTCATATCACCTACCTTTAAACTGGATTCATAATCTGTGTTCACTTTGAACATAAGCCCAAGTCGTAAATGAATTTCCTTAGCTCGACAAAAGCTGGGGTCAACGTAAAGCACATCCTGAAATGCTTTAATTGCCCTGAAAAAAATACAAATACAAGAAATTAAGTTTTTAATATGTATAATAAAGAAAACATGGTGGCTGCCTAATTTTAATGGACATTATCAATTTTATAAAAATAATTATAAATAAGTACTAAAAAATTTTAGAAAATGGGAAGCTCAGGACAATTTCTACTTAATTTTTTCCAATTATTTGACAATACTTAAAAAGTTCCATAAAATTTTCAGTGCAACAGAAAGGGACAATGGAAAATTCTTGAAAAGGTGAGACAGCGAGGGTATTAGTTCTGTTGTTCCATATAACTATACTTATAGAAGATTTTGGAGGAGGGGGCTTTTTATGTTTTCATTTATAATCCACCTGGAGGGTATTTTAAGTAGGTATGATACAGAACAGGGTTGACTGCTCCAGCCACCCAACATAGGATTCCTGTTGTCTAAATAAAAACTAATACATCCCATTTTCCTTATCTCAAAATTAAACATTAAAACTAAGATCTCCTATTGTTAAATGTTCAGAATTGTGAATTCTATAAATAGGATCTTTTAAGAATCATCAGAAACCTGAAAGTGGTCCCAAACTATTCTTGGTTTTAAATATAGCTAACCACATAAAAATGTAATATCACGTAAAACAATGTTAATTCATGGGAAAAATCATAAGCATTGATAATCCACAAATTCTTAACAAAATTCCAGAGCTGACATAATAAATGACTCTCCAAATAGGGAAAGAAGACAGTAGAAGCTTCCTGAGTTAAATATTTACCTTTGGTACACTATATCAAACAGTTGTCAGTACATATTTAAGAACTGTTACTAATAATACAGGATATATATAGCCTACATAACAGGTTTGCAATTCTTGGTCATAAACTGATTTCTTTTCTTTTCTTTTGATACCCAGGACTAAACTCAGGAGCACTTGACCACTTGACCACCAGTCCTATTTTGTATTTAGAGACAGGATCACACCGAATTGTTCTTTGCCTCACTGTTGCTGAGGCTGGCTTTGAAGTTGAGATCCTCCTGCCTCAACCTTCTGAGCCACTAGGATTACAGGTGTGCGCCACCAAGCGAGGCTCCAATTTATTTTCCTTTGAACTCTTACAACTCTAAAAGGCAGAAAGTAGGATCATAGTTAATCCTCAATTGATTATACTCATAGTTAATCCTCAATGCTGAATTGTTATTACCAGTAGGATATTGAAAGTTTATAACCAGGTTGCCACCAAGAATTTATCATTTAGTAACCAGTTATTGGCCAATGTTCCTATCTATATAAGCAGTTGGAAGAAAGGTAAAAATGATTCTTCTGAAACAATTCTTATGGATATTAAAATATTTTGTGTTACTACACATACTACAATTTATTTGAAAATCCTGGAATAAGTCAACTTACCAATGAAATGCATTGTAATAGAAGTAGACCAAACCAAGACCATATAAAAAGGCAGCATTCTGAAAAAGCAAAGGAACTTGTATTAAAAGTTTTATATCTACTATATATTTAAAGTACATTGGATGATTTAAATTCTGAATATTTTATCACATACTACAATATGCTTAAAAACAACACTGAATCAAACATATAACGCCAAAGTCATGCAACTGGGAAAGTATTTTGATTTCTTTTCAATTAACCCATTCTAACAACAATAATAATAAAAAAAAAATAGAACTCTCTGAAAGAAATCCAAAAGAGACATTCAGGAATAAGAAAATCTTCAGATTGTACTTTTCTATTGTCTACACCTTTCTCTGTTTATCTCTACTTTTCAAGTTGAAATCAAGTTTCTTTTCAATATTATTAAATGTTAATGTTATTTTACAATTAAAAACAAATTAACTCCCAAAAGTCACATAGCTAATGGATTTTTTTTAATATCAATAACTGTTTACAGTCCATATATAGATTTACTGAACTAAATTATTAATAATTTTATACTGCACTACCCCATCCACTTTATAACTTTCTCATATAGGACTTAGCCACCAATGATACAGTTCCCAGTGTTCCATCTCCTCTCATCTTGATCCTGGTGATCACTTCCCTAAAGGACAGCTAGATAGAACCTAGCTGATTCACCGGATTTTCTCTTAAACCACATAATTTTACACGTTATGTATGAAAACCTCTCAGTTTACATATGACATTTCAGAATTCCTGCCTATTTTCTGTAACCTAGATCTCTCCTGAAGCAACCATCTTGGGCAAGGTCTGATACCCAACAGACTTTGGCCCATAGTTTCTTCACTTTCACTGGCTCTCACTTGACGTTCACCGGTTGGTTAAGTACATGTGTCAGATTGTTCCCTTCTTCCTATTTGCCCTGAAAAATATGATGCCTTCTTTTCTCCGGAATCAGTAAATAATAAGCTGCTTCTGTTATTTCATGTGGCCTCCTGTCTCTCACTTGACTTATAAGCCCAAGCCTAACTCTCTCTTGATCAAAGCTCTCCTAGAGAACAACTATCTTGGTAGAAATAAACTTCACACAGGTGAAAAAAGCCAGAAGTACCTAACCAGTAAAAACAATTTTACTGTGACAGAGTTACCTGGTCATGAGTCATAAACCTATGCAACAGGCTAGCCATTGGAAAAAAACAAATATTCTGTAAATGGCACAATATAAGCATCTACAAGTACCTTCCCTGGACTACTACTATTACAGCAAGGCTAGACCATGCAGTTACTCTTCACAAAGTGACTTTAAGACCAAATGAAAGAAAAATTCCACAATTCCAAATATAGTCAAGCCATTCATTGAAACATTAAATGTAAATTTTTATTTAGTTCCTACTATGACAACTTTTTAAACTTTTGTCTTGATTTCTAGTTATAAATATTTTTAAGAGTAAATCAGGATAGTATTTTTATCAGACAGTGAAGGAAGTGAGCCCCAAAAGAGTTCATTACTGAGTTATCCTGTTATAGTTAGTCTGGGGATTTTGTGTGACAGTATGGAATTCTACTCAGAGACCCTCATGTACGGTTGGAAAGCTAGAGTACTCATCCCCAGAGGTGACAACCATCTTTGATATTTCCTTAAAGGAAGAGGAGGTGAGGCTAATTATCCTATAGTAGCTGCCTGCCAAAGACAGTTCTTAAGTGCTCAATGTTCATAAAGCAATAACAAAGGGATATGAAAAAATAACAAAGGGATATGGGCAAAGTACCAATAGGGTTTAATACACAAATATTTTATTTTTAAATAATTTAAATTGAATTTAAAGTAAAAAATTAAAATAAAAAATTTATTTTAAAAATAAAAATTAAAAAACATTAAAAATAAAACAATTATTCCGCTTAGAGAACAATGATGATCCAATAAATGTCACTATTTCAATTGTCAAGAGATTATTCTTAAAAAGGTGATGGCCCGAGGAAGTACCTTTTTCCACAGGAAACATGTATACTCATGGATAAATTAGGTCATTAAGTTAACATCATTTAAACTAATGTTAATTCATTAAAATAAATCATAAGCGTGTATAATCCACAAATTCTTTAACAAATAATTACCTTTGGAAAATTATAGCAGGTAGTTGTCAGTACATACTTAAACACTAACTATGTTATAAAAATATAGGGTAACCCACATAATATTTGCAATTCTTTGTCATACTAGTTTATTATTTCTTTAAAAATACAAATTATATGTTATGTCTCTGCTTCCCAATATGTTTTTGCCTAGAATATCTTCTCTCTTCCAATTCTATCTTTCAAACTTTTAAAACTATAATTCTAACACATTTTAAATATCCAAAAATCAGATTATTATACTTCACTTAATATTTTTCTTAAATCAATTAATTTATACAAGTAATAAGTTAATATTTATAATAATAAAAACATTTTATAAAACCAACTAGCTTAATTTCTTACAAAAAACTTCATCTCACATGGTAAACAGAAAGCTAGTTATCATTAGATATAGAAGGAAATACCATTTTTATAGAAATTAGTTTAAGAACAGTCAAGCCAACAACAAAAACACAACCTACCAAGATTGATGGAAGCACCTATAACAATACTACAAGGACAACTTATAGCCAGAATTTAAAGTGGAACAGTCCAAGCACCTTAAGACTCAAGATATGACACTCAGTTGAATTCCCTAGATTCTCTTATGTCTGTTAAGAGCCCTGCAAAAGATTTCAAGCCAGGCCATGGAAGGATGGACAGTGGTAAGAGAATAAGAGAGAAAAAGCCTGTTATCTGTAATCAAAAGGCAAAAAGTATAGTAATTTAAATATTTTACTTTTCTAACCAAATACTAAGGTTTAAACAAAATATAAAAAGAATGTGCATGCACACACACACACACAAATACACCCTAGGAATACGATGGAGCAAAGAAAGGAACAACCATTACTCTCTATCAGACAATGTTCTGCTTTCCAGTCATAATGGAACACACTGGGTCATATATGAGAAATTCACAATTTTGTGAAAATGCAAAATGGAAATCTGAAAAAAACACAAAAATGAAGAGGATGAATATGCAATGACATATAGTTTCACTGATTGCTTAAATACCTTCAAAATAATAGAACTTACAAAACTACAATGTGAATTTGACAATCAACAGTAATGAATACTTCCACATAACTTCACTGATGAATATATATATATATATATATATATATGTATGTATATAAAAAATTAAGAATTAGCACCACCACTACTACTACTAACTCTCACAAACTCTTCCCAAATGCTATATTGTTCATGCATAGAACAATAAATAAAAAAGCATTATAAACATAGAAGATCGAAAATACGGTAAGCCAAACAGACCTGACAGAATGCACAGGCATGCCTCTCAGCAACAGAATACACATTCTTTTCAAGTTCACAAAAACATTTTTTGGGAGGATAGACTATATAATAGCCCATAAAACAAGACTCAATTGTTTCAAACTATTAAATTCAGAACAACTATCTCTTACAATCACAATGGAACACATTTGTAATCACAGAAGAGAAAAATCACAAATATGTGAAAAATATGCACATATTACAAATTTCCAGTAGATCAAAGAACAAAAGAAAAATCAGAAAGTACTATGATAAGAAAGAAAACAAAAACACAACCTACCAAGATTGATGGAAGCACCTATATCAATACTACAAGGACAACTTAGAGCCAGAAATATGAGTTCCTAGAAGGAAGAAACACAAGATTATCCTAATTAACCACATTAAAACACTGACAGAAATAAATTTTAAATTAAAAAAACAAACTAAACCAAAGCAAGGAAAAAAATGAAATATGTAGGAAAACAAATAACTCAAGCAAGGTGCTGAGTTTTATCTGTAATCCAAGCTAGGGAGGCTGAAAGAAGAGGATCTTGAGTTCAAAGCCAGTCTCAGCAATGGGGAGGTACTTAGCAACTTAGTGGGAGCCTATCTCTAAATAAAATACAAAATAGTGCTGGATGTGACTCAGTGATTGAGTGCCCCTGGGTTCCATCCCCAGTACCAAATAATAATAATAATAATAGTAACAACAACAACTCAATAAGGTATAGAAAACAGAAAAATCAATTAAACCAAAATTTCAAAATAGAGGACAATACCAATATCAACCCAGAAATAAAAGAGATTGTAAAGCATTACTATGAACAACTATTTGTCAATAAATAACCTAAATGAGATTAATTAATCCCCAGGAAGACATAAATTACCAAAATTAACATAAATAGAAATCAATAATCTGAATAAATCTGCAACAACTGGAGAGACTAAATTACCTCTCCAAAGAAAATTCTAGCACAAATGGCTTGAGAGATAAATGCTATAGCAATCATTTAAAGTATAAGTACCACTCTTTTATAAACTCTTTTCCCCAAAAAGAACATTACTCAACTCAATCTATTATTACCATTTTACACTAAAATCAAAGAAGAATTTGAAAGCATTAGGCAAAGCAAAATAAGCCGAATTCTGAAAGTCAAAGATTGTGTTTTCTTTCATAGTTGGAATTTTAAAAGGAAGAAGGAGGTTAAAATTGGATGGGATGGCAGGGAATGGGAAGATCTAATGAAAACTAAAAGTAGACTAACAAGAAATAAAAGACCAGAGGAGTAGAGGAGGGGGTACAAAATGAGAGGAATAATATTAGGGGACAAATAGATGAGGACAGTGGAAACATAAGGTTAAGATACGAATAATTTTATAAACTGGGCCCACTATGCTGACCTTCTTATATTCCAAGAAGCAATTTACCTGCAGTCTGCTGGCTTAATGGGACAGGATATGTTACATTCCTCAGCAAACTACCTATTACTTGCAGGAGAAAATATAGGCCCAAAATAACTCTGATAATATATGGGGACAAATAATCCTAAAGTAACAATAACCTGGCAACCATTTACAGAAAAAAATAAAAAGTGTTTTTATGGGAGCTTTCAAAATCCCAGTGAAATCCAAGATGTTTCGAAGGCTGTTTTAA